CACATATCGATATTTATTTCAAAGCTACCTCAGTAAGCTAACCCAGTAGAACCGTAAAAGGTGCATCAATCAGATCTCTTCTAATAAGTGATGCCAATAAAATCTCCGAATCAAGTGTAATGTGAAAATCACATTTTTTAAAAAAACTGCTGATTATTCAAAAATTTTGTCTATGAAAACTACCTTCTGCGTACTGTCAAAAACAATTCCTTGCAAAATTTTGGTATAGGGCAAGCCTTCCTTCGGTCATTACCCAAACCTTAACATAAGGTTTTGACTTTAAAAATGTTGCACATATTTTTTTGTTTTAATTAGCATAAATAGTCAACCTCTTTCCTAAGTGCACCCTTTATATATAACCAGGCATATACATGTATCCTCCGTAAATACATAAAGAATTTGTACCCTTTCCAAATAAATGCATATTTTATTGGTTCTAAGGATATGGCCTGTGTTAATCACGTGTATATTTTCTTCGATTTGATAGTTGAATTTTCCATAATTGCGCATCTTCTCTAAGTGCACAATTATCTTCGGTTTCAAGAGCGTGCACTTAAAGAGGTGTGACTATACAAGCTATTTTTCTTGACCAATTGTGTTACAAATAAAGGATAATGAATATTTGGCACAATTCAATAAACTGTAATCGCCATAATCACATTTAAAATCAAATTTAAAGTGGTATATAAATTGAACCTCAGCTAATACATTCAATGATATGATAAAGCAAAAAAAAAAAATTATTGCTGCATTCTTCTTTCTATCGTATTTTCTTTAAAAAAGCAATCCCAGATTCATCATTAAACTGCGTAAATTAAAGGGTAATTCCTGAAGATCTGCAAGTCAAAAAAAGATTCATGGACCGAACAAAAAAAAAAAACATAATGTAAAAAAAAAAAAAAATAAAGATCAAAAAAAAACTTTAACCCACTAAAAAAAAAACTTTGAAATGTTCGCCTGCTTCTTTTGAAGAGAGGTATATCTTGAAACCTTCTTTCTCAGCCAATGAATAGTACTTTTATCTTTATTAGTTATAACCAAATCCTCGAGTTTTTGCAAAAGGTACATCTCAACCAAATCAAGAGCTTTCAAAGCCTCATTGTCTGTAACCCTAGGCACTAGTAATACTTCTTCTTGAGGGGGGCGGTCATTCTTATTGACAGTACAGATTATATCACTGTCAGACGGCATCTCAAAAGCGACATCAGCATCAATTTCCACAAATTCATTTGCATTCATAGGGTCATCGATTTCACCATTCATCATCAAATCGATTATCAAATCGTCAAGTTCATCAAACTCACTTTTCAATTTTTGATTCACTTGTTGGCATGCCCGATCACTTTCAGCTACTTGGTATCGGGAAAGAATACCCGTTTTAGCCAACAGTTCATAATCGTTTCTTCAGCAACATTGTTCCATGCTTCAGAAGTAGCATTAATAGCATCAAGAATGCTAAACTCCTCAATTTCAGAAGAACCTTCTATTTTCATTTTGTCAAATGCCGCAAGCCGATTTTCCACGAAAATACATTTATAGTAGCACTTGAACGAATATATAATACCGGCATCACATAGCTGAAGACTAGCAGTAGTATTTTTTGGTATCTTTTCAATTCGAATATTGCTAAGATTACCTTGCTGGATATGGGTAGTAGCACAATCAACAAAAAGAAGAATATAGCGGTTTTGGAGCCTCATCATTCCATTGACATGATTTAACAATCATTATACGTAGAGACCTGCATCCAGGCTGTTTTATTCCAATAATACCAAACAGGAAGTCTTTTTTTATTAATATTTCGAATAGGGCGCGGATTTTCGAAGGTATGAATAAACACAGGAGGGAGCTTTTCTGTACCAGTTGCATTTGCTGCAAGCATTACGGTTGCACGTGCCTTTTCTTTCTTATAGCCTGAAACAGGGCCTTGTGCAAGGGTTTTGGAGGGGCGCATCTTCTAGTAAAGAGACGTTTCGTCTGTATTCCATACGTTTCCAAGGTATATTCTTCACAGATTTTCTGAAAACGTTCTCTGTGATTATTTAATGTTTCTATTGGTGGTGAACTAGCAGCCTCACCATTTCTATTGTACTGATGAAGACCCAATCGCTTCTGAAACTTATTAACCCATCCGGTACCCTTAAAATCAGGAATATTTAAAGCTGTAGCAAAAACCTTGGCTTTGATAATAAGGGCAGTTTGTGTTAGATCCATATTTGCTGCAAGCGCACTTTCAACCCAGATACGCATAGCTTTATCTAACTTGGGCCACTTTGGCTGACGGTCACGTATACGGTTTGCTTTAGCTTTATTGCTTGTATCAATGTTTAACCACTTGGAAGACTGCTTGAGAACGTCAGATATACACATCTTCTTAATACCATACTCAGTAGCTAATTCATTGTTGAGGGTAGACGGAAACCTCTGTTTCTTTTCACAAATCTCCTTTTTTTGTTCAGCAGTAAGGTGTTTTCTTTTAATAGGAAGCGAGTTAACCTTTGTAAACATTTTTTTTTTCTTGTTTTTTTTTTTTTTCTTTAGGCAAAAAGATAAAACATGTCACGTGTTAAAATCAAAAAAAAAAAAATTGAAAAAACCCCTGAATAGGATCTGTATACACCCAAATTTATACTTCAGGGCGATAGGGCATTCAATCATCGATAATTCAGCAATATGTAATAGAACTAGAGATTCAGAAAAAAAAAAACATCCAATGCTCAACCGAGCCGTTAGAGTTACTACAACTCTAGAGCCGATGGTCCTACTCAAGATTGAACATTTGAATGCTTGTTTTTCATATGTTTTCATGACAATATTGCAAATTGAGGAACGTATTTAGAAATTTAATGGCGGAAGAAGGTAACAGAGAAAGGTAGGTGGAAAAAGGTGACAGAGAAAAGTAAGCGAAAGAATATAGGTGAGGTAGAGACTAGCGGTTATTTAGTGTTAGATTTTCAAGGTATTTGCACTTAGAATAGTCCATATTATGTCACCGACAATGTTTTGAAATGATCAGTTCACGAACGATATTAAGAAAAAAAAATTAAGCAATTAAAAAAAAAAAAAAGAATTAAAATTTGCGAAAAAAATGAAAGATTTAAAGGAAAAAAAAATCTATCCTTAGGGTAGTGCTGCATACAGTACCCCCCGAAGTAGTATCCTCCTTTTTGACAAGCAATTTGTGGCCCAATTTTCATAATTATAGTGTGATCTTTTCAATCTAGGCCAGCTTTCTTGAGAAGTACCTGGGGTACTATATGCAGCACTGTATGGTACTGGACAAAGGCATCAATGCGTCATGCTATTGTTTTTTTGTACAAAGCAACATTTTCTTATTGTCTAATTTCAGGGTTGGTGTGAAAAAGGCATTACAAAGTTGAAAAAAGAAATAATGCGCCAAGCGCCGTTTTGCATTAATTACTGATCACGTGTTAAAATCCGCATCTTGATTAGTCACCCAGTGGATGCCGTTATATTGACAGGTAAATTCCTAATAAAATCAGTATGTGGGCTAACAGAGATTTCCGTTATACGAAATATAGCTTTTTTACTATTAAATCCATTAAAACGGTTTAAATTAAATATTAAAAATTCAGTACTTTGTAATTGGTTTGTTAAACAGGTGATTC